TACTTCTCAGGCAGGGGTGTGGGGGGCGGGGGCTGCTGGCCGCTTCCCCCTCCCCAACCAAAACTATGGGTGCCCCCCCCCACCTTGCTGTCATGAACACACCCATCGACAGACATCTCCTGGACCCTTTGGGTGTAGATCTCAGGCAGCAAAGTCCCTCCATTGCCCTCTAAGAACTTGGATTTATGGGGTGGGGGAGAGGGGACTCCAGGGCCACTGGTGGCTCTGGGCATGAAGCTCCTTGCACTGTGGCTGGCTCCACATCTGTGGAGAGAGCAGAGTGTGGGAGTTGAGTGCTGTTCTCATGCAGGATTTTCTTGAGTGTTAAGGGTGTGACCAGGAGAAAGTTTCGATTAATCAAATTTCAAACACATATATCTAGAAAACGATATTATGTGCTGCTGGAGACCAAGATCAACAGTAATTGATACAAACGTGAGGAGTCTGGCAGAGGCTGACCAGGACTCCTTTTGATATTCACAGGGTGAATATCTACATTTTATTACCTGCTGCTAACTCAATGGCCTAAAGCAAACTAAGACCTGGCAAACTTACTGTTTGCTAAACATTACCATTGATATGTCTGTTTGCATTTCTAAAGGCAATTGTGTATTCTAGCTAATAAAAGCAGCTGGGAAAGGAGCAACAGGGAGAACTTGACTTCTTTAGTTGGGTTATTCTCTGGTTCCCCCGGTAATTATAAAAATTAATATTCCGTCTTGTGTGTCATTTGCGCATCAGCCCTCCCTCCAAGTCTTGAACCCGCGAAAACCATGCTGTTTGTGGACTCTCACAATTGGCGTCCGAAACAAGGAACTTGAAGGGAAAGGATTCGCCAGAGCGGTAACATATCATCGGACCTGGTGGTGGAAGTTTAACTGCGTGCAAAACTCACGTCAGCTGCAGATCCGTAAGTGCTCGAGTGATTTCTTTTGTTTCAATCAGATCAAAATGGGGCAGAATTTGTCGAGAGAGGAGAGACTTTCTTATAGACTTCTGACTTGCTTATTAAAGGATAAGGGAGTTGCAGTTTCAGAAGATCTTGTTTTACAGTTTCTAAAGTTTATTACAGAATATAATCCATGGTTTTCTGATGAGGGTACATTGGATATTGAATGTTGGGAATGGGTAGGTCAGAACTTGAAAGAAGCTCAACCGCAGGGGAAAAAAATGCCCCCAAATTGTTTCTCCTTGTGGGAAACGGTATTGCATTTGCTAGAGCCTTTCAAAAAAGAAAGACCTCCTCCCCTTGCACCTTCCACTCCTAAAGAGAAGCAGCAAGATAAATTGGAGGAGTGGCCTTCATGTCCTG